CCTAGGAGCCGCGGTCACCGGGGGGCTACACCCCGCAGAGCCCCAGCTACAGCCCCCCCTCGCCCAGCTACAGCCCCACCTCGCCCAGCTACAGCCCCACCTCGCCCAACTACAGCCCCACCTCGCCCAGCTACAGCCCGACCTCGCCCAGTTACAGCCCAACCTCGCCCAGCTACAGCCCGACCTCTCCCAGCTACAGCCCCACGTCCCCGAGCTACAGCCCCACCTCGCCCAGCTACAGCCCCACATCACCCAGCTACAGCCCAACCTCGCCCAGCTACAGCCCGACCTCTCCCAGCTACAGCCCCACCTCTCCCAGTTACAGCCCGACCTCTCCCAGTTACAGCCCCACCTCTCCCAGCTACAGCCCCACCTCGCCCAACTACAGCCCCCCCAGCCCCAACTACACCCCGACCTCGCCCAGCTACAGCCCCACCTCTCCCAGTTACAGCCCCACCAGCCCCAACTACACCCCGACCTCGCCCAACTACAGCCCCACCTCTCCCAGTTACAGCCCCACTTCCCCCAGTTACAGCCCCACCTCTCCCAGTTACTCCCCGTCCAGCCCCCGCTACACCCCGCAGTCGCCCACCTACACCCCCAGCAGCCCCAGTTACAGCCCCAGCAGCCCCAGCTACAGCCCCACATCCCCCAAGTACACCCCGACCAGCCCCAGCTACAGCCCCAGCTCGCCCGAGTACACCCCGACCTCGCCCAAGTACAGCCCCACCTCCCCCAAGTACAGCCCCACCTCCCCCAAGTACAGCCCCACCTCACCCACCTACAGCCCCACCACGCCCAAGTACAGCCCCACATCGCCCACCTACAGCCCCACCTCGCCCGTCTACACCCCGACGTCCCCCAAGTACAGCCCCACCTCCCCCACCTACAGCCCCACCTCGCCCAAGTACAGCCCCACCTCGCCCACCTACAGCCCCACCTCTCCCAAGGGCTCCACGTACAGCCCCACGTCCCCCGGCTACAGCCCCACGTCGCCGACCTACAGCCTCACCAGCCCGGCCATCAGCCCCGACGACAGCGACGACGACAACTGACCCCCCCCCCCCCCCAAACACCCCAACAACACCCCCAGGCCGTGGGGGTGACACCCACATCGATTGGGGTTCGGGGGTGTCACCCCCTGAGCCCCCCCAGGCCCTGGGGGTGAGCCCAGAATCGATTGGGGGATGTGCGGTTGTTGTCACCCCCCACAACACCCACATGGATGTGGGGTCAGGGGTGTCACCCCCCCCCAAACCCCCAAGCTGTGATGGGGTCGGGGTTGTTGTCACACCCCAACCTCACAGGCGCTGGGGGTGACCCTGAAATTGACACGGGAACGGGGTTGTCACCCCCTCAGACCCCCAAACTGAAAGGGGGTTCGGGGGTGTCGCCCCAACAACCTCAGCGGGCTCTGGGGGTGACCCCCAAGTGGGGGACGGGGTTGTTGTCAACCCCCAAACCCCGCAGATGTTGGGGGTGACCCCAAAATTCCCGGTGACGACGGGGTTGTCACCCCGAAACTGAAACGGGGTTGTCACCCCCAGACTGAAACGGGGTTGTCACCCCCAAACTGTTGAGTTCCGGTGTGGGCGGGGTTGTTGTCACCCCCCCAAGTCCCCACAGACTGTTGGGGTGACCGTTCAGTTGGGGTGACGCCCGAGTTGGGGTGTTCACCGAAGGGTTGAATTTGGGGGTGACCCCTCAGTTTTGGGTTGTTCTTTTGGGGGGGTCGCTGAGGGGCTGTAATTTCCGGGTGTTGTTTGTTAAGGGGGGGGGAGGTTTGGGGGTGTTGGGTGGCGGTTTTGGGGGTTCAGGGGCGGGGTCTTTTCCCCCCTCCCCCCTCCCCCTTTATTTCGCTGTTTTCACTTCGGGTGTTGCGGTGGGGGAGGGGAAGCGAATTTCGGGGGGATTTTGGGGGGAATCAATAAAAGTTCCGCCGGTTTGCACTCGCCTGTCTTTTTTTTTGGGGGTGGGGACACCCCAAAACACCTCGTTTGGGGACAGTCGGACACACCTGGACACCTCCGGTGGTCCCGCCCCACTGGGGACCCCCCACCCACCTCAGGGAGGAAATGGGGGTTCGGGGGGGGGGGGGGGGGGCGGGGGGGCGGGGCGT